GGGCAGCCATAGAGATACTGCTGGCGATGACCATCTTACTTTCTCAGAAATAGCAACCCGGACTAGGCAAGATATTGGTTCCTGTTGGAAGAAAGCTCCTGTGCATGATTGGTATGGGCCTGGTCTTGCTCTAATCAGGGCAAGCAATAGGCGTGTTCAAACGGCGCTTGCCAGACTTAGAAGCGGCCACACTCGATCCCAACGGCACGTCGCGGACCTTAAAGTCTATCCACCCTGCCCTAAGTGCAATGTGAACCAGTCTGCTCCTGACCACATCCTATCGTGTATTGGCTGCCAGAAGAGCCACCTGGTCTCCTACCCTGCTGCAATAGTACATGGCTTTGGGAGCTTTTTGGATGAGTTCATGGACTTGATTTAATGCTTCTGTTGGTCAAGTGGGCATAAGCAACAACAACATTACAAGACTTTATCTCTTTAGATATTTTACAAAATAGGTATAGTTTGTCTAAAAATTAAAGTTAACGAATAAAAACAAAATGTTTATCTATCGACAACTCAAAATACGTATTAAAAAAAAGAAACTGATTAACAAGAAAAACTGCTTTCAAAGAAAAATCTTTTACTTAAGAACACAAAGTTAATTAAATTTCTCGTAATATTAATATCGATGGTTTTAGACAATATTAAATATTTCTATCATATAATGGAGGATGAAAAATTGATTCCTGTTTAAAGAAACATTCTTTATTGAATTAAAATAGAAAAGACCGACAATAAACTAAGAGAACTTTTTTATAGCATGTAAAAAATGTCAAGGAAGTGGATTAAATTAAATACCTGTTTCGTAATGCAGGACCATGGAAATAAAATATTTCTTAAGAAAAGCTACGATGTTGAAATCTTTTGTTAAAGTTTCGAGAAATGAGCTTTTCGAAAGTGTAGTGTCGGTTAAAATTTTTTATTTATATATTTTTATTATTACTAATAATGTAGCAAAAATTTCGCAAGCCTTTGTCATTAATCTTTTTCACGTATTCTTTGTTGTTTCTCATCAAACCGTTTTAAGAAATTACGAAGGTGGAACATCGAGCATCTGAAAAAACAAATTATCCAAATATCTCGAAGAAGAAGATCATAAAAATATGAATTATAATTCACAATACAGTAGGAACTCGATTAATCGGTATGGTCGGGTAATATTCCGTCCAGGTTAAGGGATTATCCTAGTAAATCTATGTCAGCAAACTATAGATAAAAATTTTTTTTAAAATATAGGAAGAATTAAAAATTATAATAGAACATTCATAATTTAACAAACATTTAGGGAATGAGAATAACATGAATTTTAACCGTGCTGGAAGAAAGTTTGAGACCATTAAATATTTTTTGTATAAATATTTTTATTGCAAAATAAAGTTTGAAATTTTGGATTAGTTATTCCTTTAAACAAATATTTTGAAGGAAAAAAGTGAAATATTTTTTTTAATAAACAATAATAATTTTGAACTGGAAACAATTTTGAGATAATTTTTTTCGAAATTTTTGAAAAATCAGAGTGATAAACCGAAAAATTAATTGTGCCTTCAAAAACTTAAAATTACTCAACTTCAAATTTTAATTTGTTTGCTCAGAATTTTGTATAAGGTTTCTTTTTCATTTCTTTTCTTTGTTTTAGACAAACATTTGACGGATGAAGAAAATGAAAAATTGTTACTCTTGCACTGCGTAGCTTAAATTATTGATAGAAATCTAATGATAACTAATGGGCACAATTTTTTTTTGTCGTTACGGAAAACGACGAACGCAGAACAAGCACAAATCAAAGATAATTTCAATAATAATTACATCTTCATGGCCTGTATCTTTTTGTTACATTTATAACAGTCTTAAATGTCTTAAAAAATAGTTACACACTTTAAATTTTCCACATTCAAAACAAAGCCATGACTTCTAAAACTGAAAATTCTAGAACACTTTAATGAAGGAAAATATTCAATGAAGAAAAATCACATTAAAAAAGTTTCGAAATGTTCGCCATGAGACGTAAACAAACAACAGAACTAATACGTCAACTCGATATTATTTTATCAGTATTTAAACTCTTTATCACCAACACTCGTGTTAAATTAGGAAGAAAAAAAAACGACAGATGCATAAAAAAAATGCAATAATCTACTTTCCCTGATTAAAATGCAAAGGAAAAAACAAAGGAAGTGAAGTTCCGTTTTCAAAGGTAGTGAAGTTCTGTTTTCAAAGGTAGTGATTTACATAGCCATTTATCAGAAATTTTAATATTAAAACTAGCAATTATTGGAGGAAAAATTTATGGCCCATCGCATGAATTTGCTGTAAGAATCTTTCTGCGAAAAATTGTGATTTTCTTTATTATAGCAAGAACTAGTGATCTGTTCAGACTTTTTGCTAAAAACTTGCTCATTTTCTGAATCTGAAATTGCCTTAGAATCGTGTTCCTACTGCCAAGTTCTGTTTTTGTGAAAATAAAGGTATTACTTTTTTTTTCTTAAAAAAACATATTTTTAAAAAATTATAGTTTTTAAATAAAAAATTAAAGATGTAATTGATTCCTTTTACCAAAAAACTTTTTTTTGTAGGATCTATTTTTAAAAGTAAAATAATTATAAAGGGTTTATTTTTAAGATAAAATAACTTGTAAAGGGTCCCTTTTTGTGGAAAATGATTTGGTGAAGGTTCCACGTTTGTCCGGTTGAAACTAGTTCAAAATCCTATGTAAGGCTTAAAATAATTATTCAAGATTTAAAACTTCGCAACATTTAAAGTTGTTCCTTTTTGTAATCAATACAATTAATAATTAAAGATTCAATTTTTATTATTAATATTCTGTGTACTATAAAACCTACTCATTTTCTGAAAAACCTATTAATTCATCTGAAATTGCCATAAAATCGGGATCTCACTGACTGCCAAGTTCTGTTTTTGTGAAAATAAATGTATTACTTTTTTCTTAAAAAAAAACATAAACTTTTAAGACATTATAGTTTTAAAATAACAAATTAAAGATGGTTTTTTTAATTAAAAAGGCTTTTTTATATGAGTTATTTTTAATATTAAAATAAATATTAAGAGTCTATTTTTAAGATAAAATACTTTGTGAAGGGTCCCCTTTTCGTGGAAAGGTTCCATGTTTGTCCGGTTGAAACTATTTCGAAATTCTGTGAAGCTTAAATAATTTCATCAAGATTTAAAACTTTGCAACATTTAAAATTGTTATCAATGCAATTAATAATCAAAGATTCAATTTTCATTATTAATATTCTGTTACAACTTTTAAAACAGTCATAAGTTGAAAATTTCGGTTATATATATTGACGGGAAATTGCAATTAAAGATTTATTTTCTGTACTTTTGTTTTATAAGCCTCTTATTCTCATCTGATTTTATTCAGTTGCTATTATTCGAATGATTCATAACCTTCAAGGTACCTTAAACCAAATAAAATTATTATTTTATTACTAATTCATTGAAGTTACGAAGCATAGCTAGAATTTGTGATAAGCATCTGATATAACAACTCCTTATTTGCTGTATATAAATCTACTTTATTCTTTATCTATAAATTATCTTCGTTTAAATCTATTTAAATCCAACTTTATTTATAAAAAAAACAGTAGTTACAATTCTTGGAAAACTTTTGGATGTTATAGTGAATAAGTTTCTTATTCCTTTTCCGAGAGTATTTCTTAGTTTATCTACTGGTAGATTTGCTAACATTTCAACTCTTTACGTTCTGAAATTTCAGAATGCAAGCATTTCATTCATACTGATAATTTAAAAATTTAGTGAAACGAAGTTTTTGGGCGATGATTTTGATAAAATTGAGATTTCTTGGGGGAAAGATACTTATTTTATTCCAACAGAACTTTAATTTAAATTGTCTAATCTTTAAAATTCCGCCAATCTCAGTGAATGAATGTACAAAGTGACAGTTTTTAAGTATTTTCTGAATGGAAGAAGTTTTTAAGTGACAACAAAGAAGTTTCTTTGACAACAAGGCAGCTGGCAACATTAGAAAGCATATGTATTGGCGCCTTATTAGAAGACAAAAATGCAAACATAATGACGCGAATAATTTAAAATATAAGAAAATGAATGTTAGGGATTATACTGTTCTTGTAACTGAGGGGTTTGCGGGAATGTACATGAGTGAATTTATTTCTACAAACATTCTGTTTTTTCACTATACGATTCTCTGTTAAGTCTTAATTATCTGGTGATACAATACAGCAGTGCTCCCCAACCCCCGGTCCGCGGACCGGTACCGGTCCGTGGATCAAAAATTACCTGGCCGCCCATTTTATTGAAAATGAATTTAAATTCCTAGGTTTATACCGAAAATTAAAAATATCTGTGTTCCATGAAAGTTTTATTTATTTAAAAAAAGGGGGGTTCCCGAAGGTTGTAACATAAATTTTTTAACGTTTTAAAACGATTATTCCCAGAGGTAACCGTCTCATTGCAAAGAAACAAGCTCAGGGTTCTCATTGATTTAACGTTATTGTAAGTTAAAATGTTAAATCACAATATTTATTTTTTGGTGTAACTGTATTTTATTTTGAAGGCATGTTTAAATAAAATTAAACTAAAAAATTAAAATAATCTAAAATATAAACAATCAACGTCCCCCCTCCCCAGAGGGCCGCTGTAAAATTATCAAACGTTGACAGGTCCGCGGTGATAATAAGTACTGATTTGTCTAGAAAAATTCATTTTGACATAATTTTGAGGATCGAGTTAAATATATATTTTTCTTTCCAGTGGAAGAAATCATTCGCTAATATTTTTTCCAAAACTTTATTTATTCGCCAAATTTACGATTTTATCACATTTGGGAAAATGGCAAATGTTAGCGCAGCCCCTGGAATGTTTTAGTAGATATAGAGCTTTTGTTAATAACGTAATTTCCATGGAGAAATTTATGTCTTCATACATTAAAAAATGAAAGAAGCCAATGGAAGTATTTTAACGATTAAATTTCCAAAGAAACAAAGTGTACTCAGAAAAGCATTTCAATAACTATTTTTTTTTTTTCATTTCAAAAATTTACATTGTATTGTGCATAAATCAGATAGTTTATTCGCAAGGACATGGTTTGTCATTTTTTTCTCCATCAGGATTTACACAGTAGCACCGGCCAAAGCTTCCATATTGTCGAGGAGAGTATGTACCATCTGCGTTACATGAAGGAGAAGGATAGTCTTGGACACCCTGTGCTCCTGAAAGTTATGAAAAGTAAAGTTATGTCTAGATATTAAAAAGAAGAAGGAAAAAATCTTTAAAAATGGATGAAGAATCTACAGTTCATAAAATAAAAAAGATATCACCCTGAACACCTTTTGTTTTAGTAAACGGATTTTTACAAACTAAATGCGATCTGAAATATGATAATTAATTAGGATTTACAATTAAATTAGGAATACGTTAAAGAATCAAGCACAAAAATGCACAGTCTCTGAATAAATATACTGTTTTTACCCCATAATATGAATTTTTGTCTTTTTGGATTGGAGGAGGTGAGAGAAATCGAAATCTAGAAAGTATGGTACCGATAGTTCACTAAAAAAACGATAGTTCAGTTAAAAATAGAACATAAGGTGTTAAAAAATTTGGAAATGATCAAATATCTCGAGAAATATATATCGGATTGAAAAAGTGAAAATAGTTGCATTTCAGAGCTCAAAAAACCGTCCGTCCTCGGCGGTCAAAAATTCCCTGTGGACAACTAATTTCTCGAATCCAACGTCCGCGGGGACGGCCATTTTCCCGTTAATGGTCGTGATACGCTTTCAATTTATGTTATCTTACAAGAGTCTAGCCCTCACTTCTAAAATGACCCTCTAATCTAGAAATACAACAACATGCTGCGCATGGTGGAATTGATGTTTTCTCTGTCTGTGAGTACTGCAGCGGTTGAAAGAGGCTTTTCAGCAATGAACTTACAAAAAAACACATTACATACTGGTCTTAAACAAGAAGTATTAAACGCAATTATGAACATCTACCTAAATGGAAAACCCCTTTCAGATTTCTGTGCAGAAACCTCTGTAAATCATTGGCTTGATTGGCAAGCGTAATACGAGTATTTAATTCATTTAAAAAACGCAGTAACCTCGGATAAATTGACATTCCAGATAACTTGACCTTCGTCATTTTAATTATTTTATCAAAGAAATAAATTTTTTAATAAAAGAAATACTAGGTTGTAATATTAGTAACCTAGTATTTCTTTTCTTACTGTATAATGTAATCCTAGTATTTGTAATCCTAATGACTACTAATTCATTGTGCAATTTATATAAATGTTAGTAATAAATAAGAGAAGCTACGGGTTAGTTTCAAAGGAGGGCGGGTAAAATTTCTGAGTTTTTTCGAGTCCTGTTGCATTTCATATTTTTTTAAAAGCTCGCCGAATGACGTCATACTTCATTTTTCACTTCCTCTATCCTGGGACCGGGGGTCATTTTTAATTACGAACCCCTATTTTTTATTGCAGATTTGAGTTCTCCAGGAAATAAGTAACCCTATAACCCTAGTTGAGTTAAGGCCATTTTGCTTCAAAGGTGGCTCTGTAACCGAGAAAATTAAAAAAGGTACAAACTGTTTAAAATAGTAGTCACTTAAAAATAAATAAACCTAAAACTGTTTCAATATTTTTTTTGAAAACAATATCCATACAAATTACTTTCAGCTTGTCTATTTTTATCTTTTTAGTCTGTTAGGTCTCGAAAATCGCCATTTCAAACAGCTTTTATCGCATTTATCTTTTTACAACGACATCTGTGAAGCTAACACCATAAACCTACAACTCAAAGGGTTACTCCTTTCTGCAAAATCCGAATCTACAATAAGAAATAACGGTTCATATTTAAGATTTCAAATTGGCCCCATGCCACCCGCGGGGGTATAAAGATGGAGTTTCGTATCATTAGATACCTTTTAAAAATTATTGAATGTACCTAGTTTAATTTTTTGATTACGATGAATACTTTATGAGATAATTGACAGTTTCCAAATGTTTTTACTCTCTATACGTGCTTTGGTAACCTTTTTTATCATTAAGTTTGAAAAAAAAATGAAGCACATGTGTTCTAGCATTTTCAAAAAATACATTTCTCGAAAGAAAACAAGTACCAGTAAATACTATCAACAGATATTTACAAAATTCTTCAGATTAAGAGGATTTAATAAATTGTTGAATAATTTCAAAAATATTTAGAAAAATTATTTCTTAAGCAAAAATGTGTGGAAAGTTGTAAATAAATAATCATGATTAATAAATATTAGAATAGAATATATCTTAAAATATAAGAAATGGAGTTTAATTTTTCATTCGCAGCACAAGGCTAGCATTAAATTTTATTTTGAATTCCTTATCCTCTATAGAAAGGATTTATAAAAAAAAAAATCCCTTCAACTTAAAAATAATATTACTTACTCATTTTTTGAGCTTCTGCCAGTTTATCGTTACAACTTTCGGCCTTCAAAACAGCAAACAAGCAAGCAATTAGCACAATTAATCCGTAAAACTTCATTTTTCCTCTAAAGTAAATAAAACACTAATTAGCCTAACTACTAAAATAAAACTTCTTATAAAAAATGTTTTTTAAAAGCAAAAGAATAAAATAATTCAGAAGTCTCCTTTGGCATCATTCTTTAGATTTTTGATTGCATTTTAAATTTTAGTTATTTCGATTTAGTTTGCTTTTAACATATTTTTGATGGTAGAGAATCGTTCTTCCATTTTAAAGTATATACGGCTTTGACCCCTTATCAGGACTGGCTGAAGGAAAAAGAAGATCTTCCCAACACATACACGCTTCACGTTCATTACTACTAAAGAGTACGTATTCGTACTAATACGAGATGTATTAATATTGAGATCACGATCACTAGAATTAAAAGGTTCGTTTCATGTGATGCTGTGATTCGTGAAGATCCACGAGATCGTTTTCCTGAAGGGGTTAAAAAAGTATAGCTTAAAAAAAAATCATGCATGACTTTAAAAAACTGTTGTTTTTTTTTTAATTACTAAATTTGGATTTTGACAAAGAATTATTCTTTAGTCTATTATACACTATATAACTTTCAAAATTCATTGTTTTAAAACGATCATGTATAGCTTTAGTAAGTAGCTTTAAAATGTAGTTTTTTCTTTTTTGAAAATTTGGTTGCAGTTTTAATTTTAGTTATATTGATTTAATTTGGTTATTTTTTTATCAAATTTTTGATGGCAAAGCATCATTTATAAATCTATTAGCTTTTAGGAAAGATGAAAAGTAATTGTTCTACTCCTTAGAATGGGAGAAGTAGCATATGATTACTTTAATTCCTTATGATTTTCTTCTTCTTTTCAAAGATTAAAAGCAATCATTTAGTTTTAGATCTAGGTGATGCATGCTGTGTTTTTGTTTATTTGAATTAGATTTCCTTTCATTTTTATTTAATTTTAGAGCTAATGAAAATCAATTTTAAAAAAACAAATATTATTAGAAAAACGCATAATACTGAGTAACTATTCAGAAACGGCTAACGGCGAAACCTAATCAGTGTAATTTTGTTAGAAAGCAAAAATCTTGATCAATTCTAGAATAACATTTATTGTATACTTTGTCCAATATGATTGAGGTACAACCATATAACTAACAAATTACGATGCAAATCATTTAACAAATTCGCACGTAGAATAAATGTGCATTGTGCGAAAAAAAATTTTTTATCCTGAAAACCCTTTGATCTAATGATCGTATCTCACTCAATCTTAATGGTTCAAAAGAGTGAACTCAAATATGCTAATGCTGGTCAACGCCAATATGTTAATTAAGTACAGCAGATGACATTTGAAGTTACGAAATCAGACACGAAAACGTACTTTCTCTGAATAAACATATCTTTTTTTTTCCACGGATTCGGATTTCTGACCCCCAAAATATAGAGAGTAGCCACAATCTGGGAAATATAAACCATATAGTTAAAGAAGTAGTATATTTAAAAGAAGTTTCATACGTTAAGGAAATAGTATACTTAAAATTTGATATCTTGGTAACTATTCAACAGATTTCGATTGAATTTTGTATTTCGTCATGAATTTAAAATGATTTAAAAATTGTATATCTTGCAATTCAAAATTGTTTCGACTAATAATAAATGAAATAATTAGAAAAAATATTTACTAAAATTTATTTTTTGCATGGAATTTTTTTGAATAAACGAATTTCAGAATTGTGTGTAAATTTTTTTTTAATTCGTTAAAAAAGTTTTCGAGATTTGACGAAACACGCGAAATGTAAAATTAACATTAATGGGTCCAAACTTAGGATCGCTCTCCTGACCAAACTATGGGGACCATGTTTCCCAGATTTTTATTTCTTTACTTTTTATTTTTCAATCGAGATTGAGATTAAAACTGCGATAAATATTTTTCTAGTATAGAATAACCATTAATACAAAAAAACGTTTTTGAAGACACTTTAAATACTAAACTTACACAAAAATATTTCAGACTCACTGTTTATCGTATGTACTAACTAAGAGTTAAACACACGATACGATTCTGGCAAGATGGGGTTTTTTATTCTTATTGTAATTTATATGAAGTCCATAAAGCAAGTATCCAAAAGAGATGGATAACGTAAGACATCGTTTAAGCACGTGTACATTACAAGTAGTAAAACTTATATCCTCTCTTATCTAATTGTCAGAAAAGTACACTAAATTATAACTAATTGCTTAAAATTGCTCAAAGTAACTGGTTAAAGTTAAATGTTATATAGTTTTTTATGTCAACACTGAAAGAATTAGCCTATTCCCAAATTTTGTAAGAGTTATAATTATCCTATTACTAAAGTTTTAAATTATATGATTGCACCTGCGCAAAACCAAGCTTAAAATATCCCCTCATTATTTTCAGCACAGTACAATACAAAATAACCTTACAAAAATGCTTGAATATGAAACTTACTCAATTTTGGTTTCAAAAGTTTTCCAAGTATTCCAGCAACTGATTCTTTTGTACGTATGAAAGATAAGTTAAGGGTATATATATGAAGAAAATTCATGTAATTTTTTAAGTTTATTTACGTAAAGCAAACAAAATTCTGTTTAATCAGATGCTTATCACAAATTCTAAAAAGCTTTCAATTCAATATATCGCATGACTTCAATAAATAAGCAATAAAATTTAATTGGTAGAGTTACATTAAATTTTTTATCACGAATCACTTCAGTATTTTGTAATAAGTTTTGAATGAAAAGTTTTAATATATAGAATTTTTAGAAGAAAATATCTCTAATTATAATTTCCCGTTAAAATAGGATCCAAGCAAACTTTATTTTTTATTTGTGAATAATTTTAAAATTTATTACAGCATATCTATATAGGTTTAATACTTTACTTATCGAATAATAACAACAAATAGTATGATACTAATATATATATATATATATATATACTAGAGGGCTCCGCCCCCTGCTCGCTACCGCTCGCCAACCCCCGATAATTACTGCGCAATTACATTTTTGTTCGCTTCGCGAACTAAATTACAGTCGTTTTCCTGGCGATAATCTCTCCGTATCCGAAGCACGCTTGGCAGAGCCTAACTCGGGTAGACTATATTTGAGGGTGCCCCTTGATTCTTGCCAAGTTGTGATCGCGGTTGATCGCCAAGCTGGGCGATGTTGAAAACCAATCGTGATTCTGATTTTTTTAGATTTTAGCGTTATTTTTAAATGTTCAACGGTATATGTGATTTCAGAGGACCGTCAGTTCTAAGTTGGATACCGGCTGTTAAGGTTACTTTTTCTTCTGGTCAATAAGATCGAAGGTATGTGGGCAGTCATAAAAAGGGACTTTACAAAAAAATTTCATCGCCAGTCCGGTACCACAGGCGCAATTTTCGATTCGTATTTCGCCGAATTTATGTGGCGATGGAGAAACATAAATTCTATTCATGATAAATTTCGACAGTATCTAACTGCTATTAGAAAATTCGGTGCACCTAAATCTGAAGATATTCAAGCTTAAAGAAGAAGTGATTTGCTTTTTTCCTTTTCTTTCTGTGCTTACTCCATTAATATTTGTTTCAATTCAAAATGCATTTTCTTGGGTTTATTAATTTTGCTTATATCGGGTTCACTGCAATTTTATAAAGTTTTGGCCGATGTTTTGTTGAAATTTTCCAATGTTTTATTAAAATATCATTATATTTTCGCAGCCATTCCTGTTATCACGGTGTTCAGCGCAAACAGGAATGGCGCCAAACATAAGTCGCCAATTTCGCCAAGGGGCACCCTCAAGTACATTTTTACCCCTACTAACTCAAATCATTGTTGATCTTATAGGATGCCGGACGCCCCCTATATGGGGCTTCATCCCCCCCCCCCCCAAAAAAAAAAACATAAATTTTAAACTGAAAACAATTAAATCCTAATGAAAAAAACTTTAAAATATGGCAAACAAATTAAAACATGTAATATTAATAAGTTGATGCTGAGTAATACTTCAAAAGCAAAAACCATTGCAAGTAATTGCCCAATTAATTTCCATACTGTCAACTAACAAAATATTTTAGTTTCAATCAGACAAAAAGCAAATTATATAATAAAAACATGTGTAACTGAAATTCGACAAATTAAATTAAGCAATTTAATTTTTTTGTCATATTGAATGCTAATAAAAAAAATTTAAAATTAAATAATTATGTTATCAATGATCAAGAAACATTTTTGTCTGAATTGTTATAAAAAATAAGGTGAAGACAATAAAATTAAAATTTATTTGCAATTCGCGATCGCAACGCTCGA